CTGCCTTACATTATTTATATTAATATTAATACGCGCATTACCCATCTAAAACATGTTTATTCTTAATTAGGTTTTATAAGGTAATTAGTCTGTAAGTAAAACAACCAATCAAATACCAACAAATCTAAAACAAAATAATTAATGATATGACATTTCTAATAAAAAATTGTGAGAGTATGCCAAATATTATTAGAACTTAAACCACACATCATATTGAACTGATCCTTCTCCAAGATATTAGTTTCGATACAGAGAAATCTCATTTGTGGTCTTTAAGCATCTACAACAACAATACATGAACTTGGATTACTCCAGTGATACTTAGCAGAGACTTCTCCCTTTCTCTTTGGCACGGAGCTCGCCACTGATCAGCCCATGGCATGCTTTTGAGTCCATGATCTTGCCATCTCTTCGTAGCGAGGCCTCTGGTTCTTGTACAGGTGCGCGATCTCTGGGACGAGAGGGTCGTCCGGGTTTGGGTCTGTGAGCAGAGAGGAGATGGAGAGGAGCACCTTCGATATGGTCAGGGCTGGACTCCACTGATCCTTCAGGATGTCGAGGCAGATGCTGCCATTTGAATTGATGTTCGGATGGTAAACCTGCAAGTTTTCGAGCAAATCAAACACATTTGATGAGATTTCCTTCTCACCAATATATGATGACTTGAAGGCACGGTTCAAAGTTCAAACAACATACATCCATTAAATTCCTATAATAAAAAACTATCCACTGAACCATGCAAAATGGAAATCATGACTCGAAAACATATTTAATCACGTCTTCTAAAAGAAATAGTAGAGTTTAAGCATCGACTCTTGCATTCATGTACATGCCATGATCATAGTGGAATGCTGTGCTTCTTATATTTCGGAGTCAGAATGGCCACCATGATGAAAAGATGATGCTACTTGAGAGGGAGAGCAAAGACAAGACGACTTGATCAGTTCGGAGGAATAGCTCAATGAAACAGTAATACACACACAACCACCAAGAAATCCTGAATTCTTCTTCATGGCATTCTACATATTCACATGCAGACCCTTTAGGAAATCATAACTTACTGCTATATCTAAGAAACAAAATATGGAGATCAATAATTTTTTTGTGAATGATCAATAATTAAAGTAAAACTCCTTGAGACAACTTTGCAACATATATCGTGGAAGAGAAATAACAAAAGGAGAAGCCGTTGGACCCTCTCACCTTGGTCTGAAAGTTGACCGTGGGAGGCTTAAATGGATAGTCGGGAGGGAAATGAATGGTAACAAAGAAAACTCCCCCGGCATAGGGACTGTCCGAAGGACCCATTATTGTGGCTTGCCAGTGAAACAGGTCTTCTCCCACAGGTCCGGCACTGCATGATGCCGGAGGATCCCTTTGCAGATCCTGAAGCTCTTTTTGGATCCGTCTGCTAGCCATAGAAGCTCCTGCACCAACACAAAAGAGGCTTACATATCAAGATATGCAACCGGAGAAAAGGAAGGAAAAAAGAACAAGATATGTGCAAGTCCAAGTCCAACCACCAAGTAACCATAAACAACTAGAATAAGCTACATCAGAGTGCACAAATGAAGCTAAATCACGAGGCGATTCGCTAGCATCTGACCTCAATGGATTCTTCATTGATCCACAAAGGCAAGAGATTGAATACTAAGAGAAATTAGTGAGCTCATGATGGTATCAAACTCTCTAAATTAAGACAATGGCCAAGACACCATTCTGCATCGATAACAAGATGCAGGATCAGAAAGATGATTAATATATGGCTTTGGGATGGCCATCCTAAACTTCGGTCATCTAATAGCGCAAAAACAATGCAACAATCTCATAAGACAAGAAAACTTATGAACAAAACAGCTCATTAAACAGGACTTAAGAGTTCTTGAAGACTCTGATCTGAATTTAATTCCATGCTTTGATAATGAGAAGACAGATTCAGCCAAAACATTACCTCTCTATCAACAATCGAGCCAAATTAGTTTCCTATGAACATAAGGAATCCAATCTAATCTCCATAAAGCATGTTGTTAATAAATGGCTGCTTAAACAATCACAATTGGAAGATTTCACAGATGGAATGAGAAAAAGGAAACCCAGTACTATTTTAGAGATGAACTATTGCTTTGTATGAATCGACAAGCCGCATAAATACAGGGACTTTCTTGTAGCCCAAACACCAAAACGAATATATGTTGCGTATTTAAGCTCACTTCTCATAATACAATCCATCATATATGTAATTTTCTTGTTCAAAAAACAAAAAAAAAGGCCCACATCTAATACTTGCATGAAGACATAACCTGAACTCCAATAGCAGCTAAACTTTCTAACAAGATCTACAGACACTATAGATTGAATCAATGAAAGTCTACTAATTTTGTATATATATACAAAAGCATGATTCAGAATGCGAGAACCAAAACCTAGAAATCAATCAAAGACCGATGCATAACTATGTCAAAACAACCAAAGCAATCAGCTTTTCGCTTCCCGGAGACGAATTCAAAGTTTAAGAGCAATAATGACTCGAAAAATCGAATAAAAAAGGAAAAAGGAGTGGCACCGCATGAAAGATCAGAACCAGAAAGCTTCCGAACTAATCGATGAAGACAAGGCGAAAAGGATTCACTTACAGGTTAGTGGAATTGATGGTAGATGAGCCGCGAGACCGGATTGGAACGAGAACCAGCTCCTCAAGGGAGAGAGATGACGGACGAACAGGGGGAAGAACTAAGAGGACAGCATCGGGTATCAGCTCGGCGGTGGAAACATTGAGGGACGGAACTGTGGATCTCATCCGTCTCGGTCGAGGCAGCGGACACGGTTACGGCCCAATCGCAGGCGGTGGGCGTCACATTCGGCTTGTGGGGACGGCGACTGCTTTCCCGTCCCATCCCCATCTTATCCCCCCCATCGCACTTCTGAGCACGTCCTGTCGAAGGGGATTGGAGGTTGGATATCTTGTGGAAGTGAAACTTCGAATGGAGTAGAAAAGACGAAGAAGAATCTATGCTTAGATACGACTGAAGACTCGGGAAGTCCTTCCATCTGCATCAAGACAAAAATCTTTAGCTCCGACTTTCGCAGACACTTCCTGGTTGATCCTCCAACCCAACTTCATCAGATGATGTTGTGTTCTTGCTTCTTGGACTCGGGGATGACAGCAGTCAACCTCTACAACAAAAAAAAGATCGTCTTTCAACCAGGATCGGAAGTGGCCTTGCGTGCTCGCCCACTCTTTAGAGTTCAAGTATGATATCAATCACAATTTCTTGAAGTTGAAGACATACGACATATGGACAAACACAAAGTTACAATCTCGGATACTCCACCGATGTTAAGATGAAGAACAAGAATACATTTTGTGTCACCAAGAACCCAATTTCCCCAAGCAATTTTACCAAGTAAACTCATCTGCGATCCTGCAACTTTCAGAGCTCTGCTGCTTCTACCTTCAAGAAAGCAGACACTTCAGAACGACTCCACACGCAAGGAAGATGACGGACATGAGGCTCTGCCGGTTCATGTAGCCAGAACTTGCATCTTCCTGCGACTGCGGTGCACTAGCAGGACACAGAAGTCCTATCTTGTCGTCCCGGCACTCACTGGAAAACAGGCCAGGAGGATACTTCCCATAGAGGTTGATGTAGGAGAACATGTTCGTTGCACAGTTGTTCGTCAGATCATTCAATTCTGCGGCGTATGGGCATGCGAGTTCCTTGAAAGCTCCACAGCAGCGGTCGACAGGGTAGAGGGGACCCTTGCACTGGCTTGTGATGATTGTGTAGTTCAGGAACTCAAAGCTCAGAGGGCAATCTACAAAGTTTCTTAAGATGAGCACAGCTGCAATTCCACTATTAGGCCAATCGGAGAACTATAGAACAACAGAAACAAGCTACGAGATTTTACTCTCCATTTCAATGAGAATTCCATTCTACAATGTTCCAATACAATCAGTGTCGCACATGTATCACAAGCTTGTGATCATGTTCCGATAGGCAAAGTTTCTTTCGAAATGATATTACCTATGGGCTTCTTCCTGGAAAAAGAACAAAAGGGATAGGCCGATGGTTTCAGGATGTCCATTCTTTGACTCATTCGTGCTCGCACTGGTCAACATTCTGAAATGTTCAGCAGCCTTTGTCGACATCCACCGATAGCTTTTATTAGATTATCTTTTATATCCCTTTGCCATTAAGTCTATCAATCATAGTAAGTCTACATCGACTTCACAGATATTGTTATTTAATTTCATATTTTAATATCGAAATATCATGATTTTTATGCTTACAGAATCAAAATCTTTATGTATACAACGTGATAAGGACACAAATGAAAACCATCAAGAATTCTAGCGTTAGTCTTTTATGTTTGAATTCTTTTTCGGTATCGCTCCTCGGGATCATATGGTCATCCCCATCTCTATATTAACACAATTCAACAGGCCTAATGAGTTCGATTCGATCCTGCTCCTCAAAAATGGATTCGACTGATCCAGCAAAATAGAAAGAAATCCAGACAAAATAATCCGATAATTGAAGCCTACGACATCTCGTAAGACCAATCACCGGCTCGTTACCTCCTTCGACGTTTCTCCTAAATTACGTTATGGCAGTTGCTCACGCCACGGCCAAAGCCCAAATATCGGAAGAGAGAGAACTACAAATTACAGACGAAAAAGAGGAGAGGAAAAGAAAGCAGATCTTACTCGTCGGTGTCTGCAGCAAGCTCCGCCCTCCGGATCCACGAGGCACCAGCACATCATCTAAACCGAAACACCCGAGCGTGTTTTCAGCACGAGAAGAACCCCAGGAAAAAAAATTCAAACTTTTGCTACAAAATCCAAACTTTATGGATGGATCAGTACCTGATATGAAGCTCGAAGCAGTCGCCAACCCAGCAAACGCCACCAAAATAAGTGCCATCATGGAAAGCTTTGGATCCAAATCCATCTCGATTCGTCTCTCCTAGCCTCCTCCAATCTAGAGAGAGAGAGAGAGAGAGATGTGAATTAGTAAGAAGAGGGCGGTCACGAAGTCGGGGCTCGGCGACCGCGTCTGCGTCTGCGTCTGCGTCAACTCGGGGCTCGGTGGGAGGGAAGTGGCTCACGAGCTTCGGCCCAGCCATCGTCTGACGGTTATCGGGAAGGTCTATCTTCGTGGGGCCCGCGTCGCTGACCAGTGGCACGGGAGGTTCCTTCCTACCTGGCGTCAGCCGGGACAGGTGATGACGCTAATCTACGTTCGGCGCCTGTGTACTAACTAACTTGAAGAGGCTTTGACGGTCTTGATCGTTCAAAGAGAGAAGGCGTCCAGTGATCGAACGGCGCTATCTTGAGACCAAGTTCGTGAACGACCCGCATAGTGGGACCCATCCCAAGCTGGATCTCTCCGCAAGACGTTTGACGGCGCGTTGCGTATAAAGACCGGCAGAATGACGGCAACATCCCTCAAGCATAAAGCCTTTATTTTTTTGTCTTTTGCCCTTTAAATTTAAGAAACATCCGCATACGTACATACGCACGTATACATGCATACATACATTATATATATATATATATATGTGTATGTATATATCATTAATCTCCATTAGCTAGCTATCATCTGATCATTGATAATAAAAAAGATCATTAGGCTAAAACACCTGAGAAAAATAATAATACACAGACCCTTGGTATCACAGAGCACTATTAAATTACTTTATATAATGAAACCATCATCCCTTAATATGCATGCAACCATTTAAGTGACTATAATGATTAAAAGGAACTTAATATGCAACCTTCCGGTAGAATCTTACTGCAGCAAAGTCACATCAATGGCGATCACACTAGGCAAACAAACCACAGTTGCATTTCCACGAGAAACAAAAATAGTTCTGGTATCCTTTTTATCCATCCAACAACCGCACCTCAAACCGGTGTTTCCCTATGACATGTTAACAGATACACATTTGGCACAGTAGATACAAAAAATTTGGGATACTCCGAGTAAAAACCTTCAGATACACTTGCGGGCTTCAGTTTCTGTATTCAATCATTTCGGGGCAATAGCGTTTTGAAAGCACTTCCACTTGCTCGATAAAAGGCTTCTCCTTGAATCCACCAATGTGTCGTGTCATTTGACCCCATCGTTTTCGGCAAATTTCTGCTGATCTGAAGAACAAAATAGAAGATATAGCTAACTTCCTAAACAAGATGTCTGATAAAGTAATTTGGTGGGCAGCAAGGAGTGTAGCTCAGACTGAGGTTCTGAATCTAGCTGGTTATTGGAGTGGCTGAATATAAGTGACATGTACAACAGAAAATCGTTTAACCAGGTTAAGATGCCAAATTTGATGGACAAAGGAATCAGAAACAGGAAGCAATCTAGCATCACGGAGATAACCCATTTCTAAAATCACAACATGTTGTAACTAAAGATAACCCATTTCTTTAAGCAACTAGGCAAGAAATACAGCTCTTAGAATGGTCAGACAACCAAACATGGGCTGCTTGTCATATGGGAGGAGCATTATCTTCTCCCAAATAAAATTTTGAACAATATATCTAGCTTAGGTAATCTTTGATGCAAAATGAATCCAAATAGATTTCTATGGAGTATAGTCACTCAGAAGAAATTTCCTTCAACTCAGTCCAATTACAAGGGTTGAAACCAGCTGAAAGATAAGTTTGTACCTAAATTATATCAGGAATCCTGACCCATGGAAACTACTTATTAACCACAAAGGTTTCAGTTTTATTTTAGGTTCCACATTGAGGAATTGTATAACAGTTTGTGTAATATAAGATGAATTTATAAGATTTTAAGAATATACTCTTACGTGATCCATGTCCAACAAAATATAAATGAATCACACATACCTGTGCTCAAGAAGATTGTCCCAGTCAACATCTTCTAGACAGCATGCATCGACTTTAAGAAGCCTGAAATCCATGTTGACAACCATGTAAATGCATTTAGACAACCTTACAAGGATTCATACAAAATGTTATTCTTTACAGAAAGGAAAAAAAGACATGATAAACAAAAGATGACAGTCTTACGCATCCAATAACAGATAGTCATCTGAGTCAGCCCATAGACCTTGATTGACCAAAGGTGATGTTAGTTGTTGATACCTGAAAGAGCAGGACAACAATATATATAAATGGAAGAAAAATAAGCAACCAATATCTCGGATGATACAGAAAAATTTTGGTCAATATGGTTCCAAAAATAAATGAATCTTACAGTACAAATATAAAAAAAATACCACTTACCACTTCTCACAGCAAGCAGCATCATATCGAGTAGACAGCTTCTGACTGATTGCTTCCCAAGAGATATTGTCCCTCAGCTACCAAAAGCACATACAGATCATGAAGACAAAAATAAAAATAGTGACGTAAATGAATATAAGTAACAAAATTATAAAAAAAACAATGTGTAACCCTCTTATACTAGTACAAGCAAGATAACTAAGTATCAATGAAACAAGCAACAACAGTAATATGGACAAGCAATAAAAGCAAACCAGTCATGTTTATACTAGTGAAGTAAACAACTATAAGCCAAGGTAAGCAATACCGAATAATACCGTCCGGTACGGGCGGTACGTACCAGTCCGACGATATACCGGTACGCGGACCGCCCACTACCGGACAGAATAAAAAATAATAATAAAATAATATATATATATATATATATTTTTTTTAGAAAAAGGCTCGGCGATGTCGCCGAGGCGCTTATATATATATATAATTTAAATAAACGAGGCGACGTCGCCCCATGTGGGGAAGGAAAAGGCGACATCGCTGAGGCGATGCGACGTCGGCTTTTAAATAAATAAAAAATATAAATATAAATATATATATATATATATATATATACCGAATGGTATACCGCTCGGTATACCGTTCCGTACCGTACCGAGCGAACGTCGAAATGCCGGTACGGTACGATATTTCGAACCTTGCTATAAGCAACT